CCAGTCCCAGCTGGCTCCCACTTCCCAACCCTGTTCTGCCTAGTGATAATCAAATGCAGTTTTTATTCTCTCTTGCCTCCTCCTCCATCAGAGTGAACAGCCGACCAACAAACCACAGCCAGAGCCCGCGAACGAGTTTAGCTCAGTGTGGGGGCAGGGTCTCACATTGTTTAAATTGGAGATTAGGATATGAGACAGGCTTTGAGGTCCTCTGTTATTTTAGTACTTTTTGAACAATCTTTATAACCTAAAGCACAACTTCAGCGTACCCGCCACCCAGATACAGCCATCAATTCAGTCTATTTTGCATCATGTGCCCCAAGTATACATCGGCCGCGCCCCCGATCTTTCTACTCCTATTCAAGATGTACTCTCATTTCACCTATTGTTGTAGTGTTTAGGAAAGGTCAGTGTTAAGGATGAAAACGGGGGCAGAATCCACTCTCTACGCCCTCTTCTGTCTTCCCTTAGGAGTGGAGACAATTGAAAAGTTCTCTATTACAATTTAACACTGAACCAGTGATGGTGGTACACGACTGTAATCCCAGCCTTCGGGAGGCTGGGACAGGAGGATCACGAATTGCAGGTCAATTATCCTGGACTACATAGCAAGACTCTGTTACACAAACAAAACAAAAAACAAGCAAACAAAAATGGGGCAGGGGGAGGAGGGGAAGTGCCAGTGACAACGAGCGGAAGAAGCGGCAGCCCGGAGCTGAGTAATTTTAGTAATGTAACTGGGACCTGTCCAAGGGAAACACTTCAAACTTCTTTGTAACTGAGTACATATCCACCGCCCGCTTGTGTCCTAGCTAGGTAGCTTCGTGTTTACAACGAAGACTAGGACTAGAACTGGGGTGAAAAATTTGTATCGTCCCGTAAAGGCGATATATACAAATGATGCAGACATTAGTAACAAATAAAAAGGGGCCCCGCAATGAGTGCGGGTGGGGGGGACCGGGGCGAAGGTGAAGGGCCGAGGCCCAGCGCTGGAGAGGGTAAGGCGACCCCAGCAGGTGTGTCACAGCCCGATTGTCTGTGGGTTCTTTTTCTCCGTTCAGATGGAAACCGTGAAAAGGCAAAGCGCAACTTCCTTAGTGTCAGCAACTCTGAGCCTCGGGTGTCGGGACCCTAGGCTCGGTGTTACAGCTCTGTGCCAGCCGCCCAGCGCCTAATGTTACAGTTCTGCGCCGGGGTGTCGGGGACCCGCAGCTCTTAAGCGCTAAGAGTTCGTTGGTAGCCACAACTAGTAACACTCGGCTGCGTTCTGGAAGTCTTCCGGCGGCAGAGGCTGCAGCACCTCGCACCTCTGCTGTAACTTCTCACAGCCTTCGCCTCCCCGCGGCCACCGCACTTCCGCAGTTTCCTTTCGGCTCCCGCGGTCTCTGCTTCCGGTCGCTCTCTGGAACTTTTCAGCCATCTAGACCTCGCAGGGCGTGCCAGGGGTGGGCGGCCCGGGGAGTTGCCTTTAATTTGTGCAACCAGCTCAGCCGCCCACTCTGCCTATGATAAAAGGCCACAAATAGGGAACAAAACTACCGGATGAGGCTTGAATGAGGGACGGACTCACAGCACAGGAGCAGCACCTAAGGCCCGGGAAGGAGCGTTGCTGAGATACCAGTCACGCATGCGCATTAGGTGTTTTGAGGGCGTTGCTCCTTTACGACCTGATTGAGGACCGCTGTGATGCTGGAGCGGCAACTGTCCCAGTCTTGTCTCTTGGCTGTCGGCGGGGTCACCTAAGGGTCATCTGAAGCTGTCACTGAGAAAACAAAGTCTTCAGAAGCAAAGTCGCTGTTGGAGAGGCGGTCAGAACAGTTGGGGAGGGTCCTGCGAGTGGAGCGAAGTCTCTTCCTAGCGTCCGCAGCTGCGCTGGAGTGTCCTCCAGGCTCTGGCATTTGGACTTGAATCTCCCGGAGCAGCCACGAGGGTTTTAAAAACAGCCGCGATGTCCTAGTGACAGCTGAGGGAGGCTGCTGTTGACACGCGACCCCGTTGCGCTTGTGCGGACCTCCCAAATTCAAGCGAGATCGGCTGTATTCTTAAGTTTCTCCGAAAAACGGAATTCAGCTGAATAATTGAAAGGAGCTAAATAAAGATATTTTTCGAAGGACTCATAGGAAGGATCTTTTGAAGAAAAGTATTTTTTCCAAGACTATGGTAATGGAGAACTTCAACTTTAATAAGTGATTATCTCTTATAGATAAATTCACCAGGTTTTCCATAAATTTCATAATTCATGATTTTCAAAATTTATAAATTCCATAAAAAGTTTCTAGAGGACTTCCTGTTTGCTGGTCATTTCTGTCTTAGGCTCCGAAGCTGAACGATACATGTGCTTGTTAGCTAAGCATGACAGCATGCTAATAAATGTTCACATTTAAAAATTTTTTTTGGTGGTACTGGGCTTTGAAACTTAGAGCCTGGCACTTGCTAGACAAGTGCTTTACCACTTGAGCCGCACCTTCAACTCCTCATAAAAATTTTTTTGAAGTATTTTTCCATGTACTTGACGCACACTAATTGTGCAATATAATAGTGCCACCCAATTCCTAAACACACACACGCAAAGAAAAACGCCTCCTAAGTTTGAGTCTAGTGCATTTGTGTCCATCTCCATTTCCCTTATTTTTGAAAGAGAAGCAGTAACTGGGCTGTAACTCCACTTCAAGACCGTGAGTTTGAACCCGATTTGTCTGGTTTACGATAACCTTATCATTACCCAATTTCAGTAGAGAAAGGCTCTAAGGGGACAAGACCGCAGAAGTACAATTAAGATGATGATCCTATCTAAGTGACCGGTACAAGAAACATTGGTGGAAACTTTTAAAGACCTATGTGAAATACACTAAAAAGCACAAATCTTAAACGCTGAAGGAAACGAGCTAATTATAGGCTTGTCACCAACCAGAACAATTTTAGAATATTACTAATACCTTACAAGACTTCCTTGTATTTGTCTTCAAAAATAGCTGAAAGATAGCCAAAACTAAAAATCGTCAACTATGTACTTAGAATATCTTGGGAAATCTCACTTAGCATCCTTCGGTAGCTCAGTTGGTAGAGCGGAGGACTGTAGGTGTTGCTGGTCATCCTTAGGTCGCTGGTTCGACTCCGGCTCGAAGGAATTGCCTTTTGAAACATTCTGTGGACCTCGGACTCTCGGCTTTTAAGGAAGTTTGTACTATGAAAACAACGTCATTTGAGTTTATACAAGGAGTAGGGGAGAAGAGACCAAAATCAACTACTCTCATTTATTGAACAAAGGAAGCTAAGAAAGGTTGCCTCAAGCTGGTGGAACATTGACTTTTCACCCATCTGAGAAGCCGTCATAGGCGAGTGGGTAATGAAAGACATCCTGCATCAAGATTTTCCTTTTAATTTTCTTTTGGAGACTTGGTGATCCCCTGTTACATTGGTACTTAACGTGAATACTTTATTAATAACAATTCCAAACATACACAAATAGAGAAAATAGTACTGAGTGCTACCATTTAACACTGGCACACCTGACACTCTTGAATTATCTGTTCACATGTGTCCCTCTCTTATCTCCCGATCCTTTGAAGTAACCCCAAGGTTTGTTTTCATTCACTGTTACTGTGTTTGAAGACATCAGTATTAAGAATTAAAAGCGGAGACCGTTGTTCCTCTAACTGGACCCCTGTCCCCAGAAAGTTGTCAATAAAATTAATGAAGTAGGCGTGTGAAAATTGAAGGAGTCTAGCTATTAGAACTCTAGACACTCCATGAAAAAAAAAAATGCAGCGCCTTGGTACTTCAGAAATATACTCGGGCCAGTCCAGCAAGTATTCTCATCTCTATAACTGTAGATATATCTGTCCCCTCTTTTGTATTCTGGGCTACACTGCACGGTGGCTGGAGCAGGATGGGACATTTTGTCAGGCTGTAGTAGCTAAGGCAGATTTATATTGATCGTCCTCAGCTTCATCCTGGACACCTTCCAGAAAGCAGACAGGTTTTTTTTCCCTGCACAGTTCCCCGCGCTGCCCTTTGCAGTCTGCCGGGCGGCTGGTGCGGGCGGAGAGACCCGCGACGCCCCAAAGGCGCGGAGTCTGCTGGTGGGTGAGTCCTCGGGGGAGAACTGGATAAGGCCAAGCTCCTGTGCCCGGCCAGTGGCCAGGACTTTAGTGCAGGCATCGCCAAGGCCTCATCGGTTCTTCCGTTGCGCTCGTGGAAGGAAAAGCAGCGTGTGGTCTGAACAGAAGTCTATAAGGCCAGGACTTGGAACGGCAGAACTAAGCGCGCTGCCTGGGGATAGACAGCCCCAGTCGTGTAACTGATCACACGTATTTGTAATGTAAATGTGTATATATGATAACATATTAACGCAATGCATAATGGGAGACAAGTCCTTTAATTCATATTTAAAATTTTTAAATATTCACAAGGTTAAATTTAAAATATTAAAAGTGCACAACTTATAATTTCAAAACTTAAATCCAATTAAATTTGCAAAAATAAGCTACATTTAAATATTTTATTTTTAAAACATTCAAAACTTCCACACCCAAATTTATAAATTGACTTGAAAACTTTAAAGGTGAGTCATGAGCCGCATTCGCACAGGATGCTTGAATAAAATTCTATTCTGATCGCTAGAACAAAGAAACAAAATTGTCCTGCAAAATTCCCAGAAGAGCTTGCGTCAAACCGTCTTTTTGAGCCACACAAAGGCGTTCTCTATGTCACACTTGGGAATCTGCTTTTTTCCAGTTCTGCCTCTCAACCCCGGAGTAATGTCTGCTGTGCTAGCCGGAGCTTTCATCCAGCCGCATGATCTGAATCTCGCCTGTGACCACACGCACATTTGCCTTACCTACTTTGCCTTTTCCTGGACCCGACCGCGTTGCCCAAGCTTTTTATTTCATTTGCTATTACCATCCCGGCCCCGCCTCCTCGCTGTAGGACGTCGCACACAAAGTGCGTGAATCGAAACTGATAGCTTTACGGCTGTCGTGCTGTGCGCATCAGCCAGCATGGAGGCAGAGGAATTGAAGACAGCTGCGGAGCAAGAGCCGCTGGAAGGGACAGACCAGAAACCAGAGGAGGAGGAGGAGGAGGAGGAGCAGGAAGAACCTGGAGAAGCGGCTTGCGGCAGCAAAAAGCGGGTAGTGCCGGGTATTGTGTACCTAGGCCACATCCCACCGCGATTCAGGCCCCTGCACGTACGCAACCTTCTCAGTGCCTATGGTGAGGTTGGACGCGTTTTCTTTCAGGCTGAGGGTAAGTACTCAGGCCCTGGCAGTGTACGGAGGGTGATGGCACTCAAAGCGAGTGGGTAGGCACTCAGGTCCGGACCCCTCGGTTACACAGTGTTGAGGTAGAGGAGGCTGGCTCTCTTTCAGGCTGGTAAATCGGTAGTGCGCATGTCTCTTAAGAGGCTAGGACTGGGGAAAGAGGGAGGCTGGCAGGACGAGTAGCAGGTGTGCTTGGTGCCTTAATTCTCGGATTGTTAGTTAGCATTTGGTTCTGATTCTGGCTCCACCCACTTCTCCGGACCTGTCTGTACTCATATGTAAAATGTCTCAATGGCATTTCTGCAAAACTGAACACATCCCTGTGTTATCGCGGGACACGTCAAGAGAGAGTGAGAGGGAGTGAGGGAGAGAGAAAGAGTGTAATTAGCCTTCCTCCACCTCCCGCTTTCTTACAGGCACTAATTGGAATTGATGTTGGGGGCCATTACAGGTTTTAAGTAAGTGTTCAGGAAGACCTGATTAAGAGTTGACATTTGAAGAGGATTGAGTGAGAAAAAAGAAAGGGTGCATGGCGGAAAGTATGCACCTTTTTCCCTCTCGGTCAAAGACTGAGGTGGGACCCTGGCAAGCAGGCTTGGAGAACATTATGGCCTATGGGAAGTTCATCAGTGTGGGTGCTCGGTGGGTCTCCTAACCAACTTTGTCTTTGACCCGCAGACCAGTTCGTAAGACGCAAGAAGAAGAAGGCAGCGGCGGCTTCAGGAGGAAAAAAGGGATCCAAGTACAGCAAAGACTATACTGAGGGCTGGGTGGAGTTCCGAGATAAGCGCATAGCCAAGCGCGTGGCAGCCAGTCTACACAACACACCCATGGGTGCCCGCAGGCGTAGCCCCTTCCGTTATGACCTATGGAACCTTAAGGTGAGGCTTTAGGCCAGTTCTGCCACACTTCTAAGCCTGATTTCTCTTTCTTGATCTGCCCTATCTTGAGATCCTGAGGTTTTGTGTGTGTGTGTGTGTGTGTGTGTGTGTTGGCACTGGAGTTTGAACTCAGGGTCTCACGCTTGTTAGGCAGGCGCTCTACCACTTGTGCCACTGCTCCAGGTATTGTCAAGATAGGGTCTCAGGAACTATTTGCCGGCGCTGGCTTCAAACCACAGCCCTCCTGATCTCAGCTTCCCAAATAGCAAGGATTACAGGTTTCAGACATCAGCGCCCAGCCACTTATTTTTGTGTGTTTCTGCCCACAGTATTTGCACCGTTTTACGTGGTCCCACCTCAGCGAACATCTTGCCTTTGAGCGCCAGGTGCGCCGTCAGCGCCTAAGAGCAGAGGTTGCTCAGGCCAAGCGTGAGACTGACTTCTATCTTCAAAGTGTAGAGCGGGGACAACGCTTCCTTACTGCTGATGGCGATCCTGCCCGTCCGGATGGCTCCTGGACATTTACCCAGCGTCCTACAGAGCAGGAGCTAAGGGCCCGGAAAGCCGCACGGCCAGGAGGTCGTGAAAGGGCTCGCCTGGCTACTGCCCAGGACCAGGCTCGCTCCAACCGAGGTCTCCTTGCCAGGATCTTTGGAGCCCCAACATGTTCAGAGAGCATGGACAAACCCTCGCTGGCCAGGGACTCTTGAGGGACAGTGAGGCCCCTTCACTTCCTAGCTCTGCCCTACCTCTCTACCTCATGCTAGAATGATAAATGACTATCCAGGCAGGCATTTTTTGCTTGTTTCTCAGACCAGGAGTCTAGTGAAGGTCCAGACATGGAAGTTTTGTGGCTTCCTCATCCCTTACCTGACTCTCTCAGTTTCTGGCTGAGGTACCTTATTTATACTAGCATGATTCTGACTACTGTAGATGCCTGATCCTTTGTTGGGGGGATAGGGGTAATATGGGGTTGAATTTATGGCTTTGGGCTTGCTAGATAGGTGCTCTACCATTTGAGGCACTCCATCACTTGTTTCAACTTGACTTTGGCTGCCTGCCTCTTTCCTAGTGAGGTTCCCTAAAAACCCATTTTCTGGTTCCAGGAATGGCCTTTATTTTTAATTAGTGACAATGGCTAGTTTAGGCAATTTTGTTCTGCAGGTAAGAGCAGTAGCAACATCCTTAATGTTTAGAAAAAATTAACAGGTACTAGAGTGAATGGGTTGTGAACTTCCTTCCAAATGTATTTATAGAAAAGAAAAAAATTACATATTTTTGGGGTGGGAGTCATTGGGTAAGTTTCATGTTTCATCTTGCTCCATTCATTTACTTTCACTTCATCTCCTCGTCTCAGAGACCCCATTCAACCTGGACCCCGGTTTTTTGTTTTTTTTAACCCCCTATGTAGTTTCCTGGCCTAGTTTATCATCTAATTCAACATTTATTCAGCTACTATTTGAGGAAACAGTTCAAATCCCCAGTATGGGCAAAAAAAGCCCCCCCCCCAAAAAAACTGAATAGACTAAATTCTTAAGCTATTTCCTTATTGCTTATAGATGATATTCTTCATGTCCAGTGTACTTAAAAATAATACTTTGTTAGTCCATAAATAGTAAATGCCATCATTTTTTAAAGATAGGCTTTCTCAGAATAAAGTTTATACTCTAGGATCGTTCATCCAAAATTTTAAAAAATTCTTATTCAAGTGTATGAGACCTGCTTGAAAACTAGGATTACATCTGACCGAAATGATTTTACTTACTACATTTAGTCTTTTTTTTTTTTTTTTTTTGCAGTACTGGGGTTTGAACTCAGGGCCTACACCTTGATTCACCCCACCAGCCCTTTTTTTGTGCAGAGATTTTTTTTGACATACGGTCTCTCAACCTATTTGCTCCAGCTGGCTTCAAACCTCCTGATCTCTGCCTCCTGAGTAGTTAGGATTACAGGTGTGAGCCACTAGTACCTGGCCATTTAGTCATTTATGTAACATGTTATATACATGTTAGCATTTTCTTTTATGGCCAACTTCTTGGGAAAAAGATTTTTTTTAAATGTAGTGATTCTGATGTGCACTTTTATAAGAATTCATTGCATTCTGATGATAAAACTCACCCTTGTTATGCCCCTTTCGTTGATTGCTAACATGTTAGATATACTCAATTAATAGCTTCTCGGCCTTTTGGCTAAGATCAAGTACAGATTTATATACTGAACTAATTCTAGTTAATTCTAGGTATATTCACATATTTGAATATTACTGATTGAGATGATTTGCTTGATAGCTCTGAATTTTTAGTAAACAGGTAGAGACTGCCTGTCCAAGGTTGGATTCTTCAGTGACCCACTCTACAATTTAAATCTGGTCTCAAGACATTCCCATCCTTGTTCTCTTATCTAGCTATATTTTGGACACTTAGATATATTCAATTTCCTACTGTGTTTACTGGAATGTGAACTCATGTAGCTCTGCTCAGCTGTTTTGGATTACCTTCACCTACTCATACCTACTGAAATTCTTCTCATTCAGATGTGCTTCATTTCAGATGTGCTTAGGGAGCAACAGCAACCCAATGAAACTTAACTGATACTGTGTTCCTAGAGGGCTGCACACATACAAACACATTCACACAAAACCTCATTCTGACAATAGATGTGCTGTTCATACATGTGCACATCACCTGTTCTTTTGGTTTTATCAAACCAAAAAATACATAAAAAATCTTTCAGCTCTAGCCTGCAGAACAAAATGTGGGTGCACAGTTCCTGTGTATGCAATTGGGTATATGTGGTATGAGGAATTGGGAAGTAGAAATCAGAGGTTGTGTCTTCATAGGCAATAATGTATATTTACATGCAGTATTACTTTGGTTCCCTTTTTAAATGTGGAACAGTTTATTCTCTATCAAGCCTACTTCATGGTCCTTCTAATCCTTCCCTGTGCTAATTTGGTGACTTCATTGCTCTAAGGCATATTTCTAGTACTTTCA